AAAATCTATCTACATGTATGCATGAACAATATCATTTCTATTATTATTATTTTGTTAATTCAAAATTGTAGATATATATATATATTCAATGCATTAATTTTTAGCTACACTGTAAGCTGCACTTGATTCTAGGTTTTGCTGGTATTAAATAAAATGTAGCTACTGGGAAAGCTTAGATACATGTCAATATTATTTATATTGGTGTAGGTAATAGTTATAGCTGCATAACCCAATGTGCGTTGACCAGTCTGTAAATCTTCAGTTCAGGTGGTAGACTCAAAATCAAATATAATTTGAATTGTATTGAGATATGTCATTATTCTCGATTCTAGAACTGCTGCGGCTCAGGATCTATATTCTAAATTCGATGAATACAATGCTCAATGTCTGAATAATGAAACTGACATTGTAGCCTTGACAATGATGAAAACTGGTGAGATCCCTGCTGAATTTGGTTCCCTTGCTGCTGCTACTGTGCTAGTGAAAGGTGAGTTTGCACATCATTACAGGGCCTTAGTGGTTAGCTTATGATGTGTTTATGAAGTCTAGAAACAATTTCCATTTGAAATTTTCAATTTGGATTACTGTTAAAATGTAGCCAACATCATGAGGTGTTAGCTTGACTATGTTTATACTGTATAAGTTTGAGATGATCATAACATGGCTTGTAGTCATTGTGCATCCTATCTCACAACGGCTTGTCATTGTGCGTTCTATCGCACTGATACACATGGATATAATAAATGTTTATTCATACACAATTCACACTTCTGTTGCACTATTATTATCCTTTCAATTGGCTCATCAGCTTAAAGTATAGAAGTTATTAAATTTAATGTAGTGACCCGGGATTGAAATTAATGTTATTGCAAAATCTGTATGTTCAAGATTCAAGATTTGTGCTCACTCTGTCAAAAGTTGTAGAAATACATTTTGCTTTTGAAAGTTTTTCAATTCTCAATTTAAACATGATGCATGAAGAATGAAATACTATGTACGGTACATCTTGATAGGGGCAAATACTTCACTGATTGAAAAATGTGTGAAATTTATTGTCTGAGCTAGTGTTCATGTAATCTCTAAGGTATTGGTGCAAATGCTGAACTAATGAAAGAACTTGAGGATAAGATACAACAACTAGAAGAAGAGAACAATTCTTTGAATCAGAAGAATTACCAACTAGAAGATAGATCTAGTGATTTAGAAGACAAAATTGAAGAGCTGGAGAGTGAATTAGAGATTTCAAAAAGCCAGGTTGGTGTCGGTGTTGGTGTGAGCGTGGCTGCTGCAAGTGTTGAGGTTGGTGGCGCTACTTTGGATGAAGACATTGAGGTATGTGATGCTAGATATGTATATGACTTATGGTCATGGGGATGTGCATTTTCTTTTATTACAGATTTTACGTCCTTGTTTGGAAATCCTTGTCTGAAAATGAGACTATTTTTTGGGTGTGGGTAGAGTGGAGGACATTTCATTGGTGTGCATCAGCTGGTAGTTGGTACAGAGAAAATAATGTTCTTATTCATGTTATTTTAATGTGTCTCCCAATTGTACATAGGACAAGCAGATTTCATTAATATGAACATTGTGGGTGGCTTTCAAATGTATTATGTGATTCTATTCTAGATGAATGATTGTTTATGTACACCAAAAATAAATACATAATTTATCTATATCATTTTCTCTCTCAGGGATTTGGAGAACAGCTGGCTGCTCTTCAAAGAAAAGTGGATGAGTCTGAGGCTCAGTTGAGAGAAGAGAAAGCAGCACATGGTAAAACGAAACAAGAACTTGAAGATTTGAAGAATGAACTTGAAAGATCTCAGGATGATAGATCAGACCAGTCATCAGAGTTGGAAGCTAAATTCCTTGCCAAGGAAAAAGCTTTGAAAGCAGAACTCAAAGCTAAAGATGAGGTGAGTGTCTAGCATTACTATTATTGTTAGTATTTTCATTTGTCAAAAATATAACTTCATCATATTTGAGTATGGTTGTCTTATTTTGTATGATGGGTATGATAGAAAGTTTGTTCCATGTACTGTTTTTTATGCCACCAAATTCAGAACAGTATCACGATACAATTTAGTGTTTGCAATACGCAATATTGTAGATTGGAAATCAAGTATTACTGCCCTATTTTTTTCCAGGATTTAACTGAATCCAAACAGAGAGTTGATGAGTTGGAAAATGAAAAATTGAAAAAACTTCCAGTTGATTCTGCCAAGGAGATTAAGAAATTACAAGAAAAACTGGTATGTATTCTAACTGTGTCTCAAATACTCAAATCCTCGTCTAGATCAATTTGAATTTCTTCAACTATATACTCACTATTAGTATATACAGACTAATGAAAATGAAAACAAAATTCTCCTACTTTTTAAAAATACAACATGTAATTATAGATTTTATAGTGAAAACATGTGTGGGGGAATGCATCTGAATTCGTTCCCATACCTGGTATGTGGTTTAATAATCAGTGTGTCTGTCCAGCATCGCAGGAATTGCAAGTTCAATATCTGTGCTCACCTGCTCACTCAGCAGTAAAGTAAAGAATGTACATTGCGTTCAATACTATAGTTGGGAATGAAAATATCAATAGAATGCGAACGTTTAGATGTCAGCTATGAATGCTGGTCTGGTCCTCAGTGCATGTGAATAAATCATAGTATTCTTAAGAACGCAATTGTTTAAATGAGTCTGTGCATTGGTCTAGTTATAATTGTTCAAATAAGATCACTGTATAAAGTATATACCATTACATACTCTCTCACTGTGTGTTACAGAAAAAGGCAGAAGCTGACAAGAAAGCAAGTGATAAAATAGCCCGAAATAAGACAGCTGAATGTGATGAAAGCAAACAGAAAGTCACTAACCTCAGCCAATCACTGGCAAAGGAAAGAGAAATCAACAGAGGTCACCAGGTAAAAATAAATAATTGAATCCTCATACGTGACCACTATTTCTCAGTTAGTCTTATTTTGGGTATTTTAGTTACATCAACTACTTTAGAATTTAGAGCCCTGGATGGCAATGTGTTATTCTGCAAAATAACAAAACTTGAATTTTTATTGCAAAATGACAACGATTAGATCTTAATGATCTCTCACAGTTCAAAATAAAGAACATTTCACGGCTTTTACAGACTTGCTAAATTCATGGAGGTTTGTATCTTGAAAATAAAATTGTGTTAACGTGCTTGATGTCTGTGATTCAATAATATTGATTCATTCAATAAATCAGGACAAACTAAAAGTGAAGATGTCTGAGAAAGATAAAGAGATGAAGGAAATGGCGTGGCAGATGGACAAGAAACAAACAGAAAGAGCTGCTGAAGAGAAAAAGAAAATGCAAATATTAGAGAAGAAGTTGAAAGAATTTCAGATTATTGCGGCTGCTGGCGGTAAAGAAGGAAAGGTGAGAAGAGTGATTATGTAAAATCCTGGTTGCTGGATGATTAATGGTGTAACATTTCATATTATATTTTGAAAGCCTTTGACGCAAGTTAAATTGAACCACGAACTAATTCAGCGTTTGTTAATTATGCGTGTCAGATTCCGAAGTTTTTATCTATAAAACCTAAAATCCCATCATGCATTTCTGTTTGAATTTAGTTTTGGGTGCATGTTAACCTTTTCACCACCAGACTTTCATGCCCAAATTTTTCTGCACTTTTTTCTTATATTTTTCAATATTTATGGAAATGAACCCTAAATTTGGAGCCAACAGACCAAATTTGAGTCAATTTTTTTTTTTTACTCAAAAGAACTGGGTGTTTTTGTCCCAATCTTCTGAAAGAAAGTGCTGGCCATAAACGGGACTATTTTGTGAATTTGTTATGAAAAGAAGTAACTGGTGATGAAAAGGTTAAACACGATTGACCTAAGTATAAAGAAGTACATAATGAAGTTTTCTCAGATGCCGTGGCAACATGAGTAAAATAGTTATCACTTAAAATCCTACGTTTGGTTTTGTGGAAAATGTGTTTACACAGGATTCATTCAGATTGGAAGATTGTTGCAATAAGAACATTGACTTCTATATTAGGTATTTCCATTCTGAAACAAATTGAGTTGATGTTGAATTTTGAAAGTCTGTATTTTTATCTCTAAAATAGGGTGACGCAATGAAGTGAAAGTCAAGAAATTACAAGAACAGATGGCAACAATGAAGAAACAATCAAAAGAAGATCAGGAGAAAATTAGAACTATGGAGAGAGAAGCAAAAGAAGCTAGAGTAGTTGCAGCCCAAGATGTAAGTGTAAATATTTGTTCTGTAACTCAATGTTGTGTGATTCACTACAAAACAGTTGAATCTAAGTTTGAATGACTTTATGATGGCGTTATTACTCTATGTTTGCAATTATGATTGAATCTAATGGAAAATGTCTTTAATTTTGTACACCCTTGTCAGATTGTGTCTAATATCATTTTTGATACATTGCACAAATTCAGCATCTCTTGTTCTGCATATTTCACACATACTATGAAGCATGTACTATATACAACTATTGAAATCATTGTTTTGTGCTTTCAAAATCCCATCTATTTACAGCTTATACCCAGAAACCTACCTAAATAATGAGTAAAGCTAAACTCAGTTGCCATTCCCAACTTTCTTGAGTACAGTTTCAAAATACTTACACAGATCAACCCATGACGGAGGTTGAATAAAAAAATGAACCCAGAACAAAGTAGAGGAACATTTGAGATGAAAATGTTTGTTTTGATGGCGCAGACTAACACTAATCCATTTCTGCTACAACTTTGTGTAACAGAACATTTATTCAAGTATAGATATAATATAAACACACGTCACAAGGAATCTGAATTTTATTTAACATCTAAAATAAATACAATTGAGTGAAGGTCAGCTTTACATGTTTATTTGTTTATGCTTGCTTTACTCCAGTCATATGGCTCATGCATGAGTTTGTTTTTCTTCACAGAAAAGTGGTAAGGCTGCTGAGAAACAAATCAAAGAATTGGATAAGAAACTGGAGATGGAAAAGAAGAAATTTGAACGAGAACAAACAAAAGCAAAAAAACTAGACGAGGAGCTGACCACTACGAAGAAAGTTAGTAACCATAACAAGATAACAAGAGTTGTCATCAATTGTTTCTTCTGATGTTATTTGGCAATCTGTTTCAATGGGGGGGTTAAGTGGTCACATGACCATATTGTGTGATGTCAGCAAAATTCAAGGATTATAAGCTGCACTTCTTTGAGTATTTTTTATCCTGAGAATCCTTTGCACTGTTAGCAGGAGTAGTGAGACTGCCTGAGATGCCTAGCTGTGACTTCACAGGGGTTAGTATTCTAACATTAAAAATATATCAATTCAATAAAGATGTTGTAAAATTAATCTGTTTGGTAATGTTCTCTTTTCACTAGGATCTTTCAACATCCCAAGACAAGACCCGGAAACTGACTGCCGAGCTAGCCATGCTGGGTGTTGCTGCAAAAGAAGGCATAGCTGCTGCAGAAAAGGTTGCCGCTTTGGAGCGTGATGTTAAGAAATTGACAGCTGAAAACATAACATTGGCAGATAATTGGAATAGTGAACGAGTAGGTATCTTTTCTTAAATTGAAGGTCAACATCATCAAGTAATATTATATACAAATACAGAAAAATGTAGCTGACATTTAAAGCTGGAGAGATGAATTCTTTGTGACCAGTCTAATGACAAACCATCGCATGTAATATAAATTATGTTATTGAAAAAAAAAAAACTATTGCCATTTATTCTTCAGGTACTGAGAAAGAAATACTACAATATGGTGGAAGACATGAAAGGTAAAATCCGTGTTTATTGCCGAGCAAGGCCATTGAGTAATGATGAATTAGCTAGGGTGAGTGCACAGTCATATTGTCCTACCAGGTATATCTCATTTAGAGCTCATGTCATCTACACGTCTATCAAGTAATTGTCAACTTTCTTCAATTTTTCTAAATAACCCTCATCAAATAACCATAATTTGTGTTTGTTAATTTTTGACCAGGTAATTGAAAAAAAAAGTGATACAAAAGTTGAAAGTTTTTTTTTTTTTTTTTTTGACAGGGTAATGTATCAATTATAAAGTCACCTGATGAGTATTCCATTGAAGTAACTAGTAGTCGTGGTACCAAGGAATTCCAGTATGATCAAGTGTTCACTGCTGATGCAACACAAGAAAAAATATTTGAAGACACCAATGTAAGATTTCTGAAAGTTCTTCTAGGACTACTGTAAAATCTGTATTAGAAACCGTGGCTTCTATTCAAATGTTACAATGCAACAGAGGGGATGCGGCTTCTATTAGAACATCTACACATATGAGAAATGATGAATTTTTGGTTCTCAAATATTCGAAAATAATGGGTGCGACTTCTATTAGGGATGCGGCATCTAATACAGATTTTATGATATATTGGAAATCTTAGAACTCCTATATAAATATAGTCCAATCAATTGATTTTAGCCTTTTCACTACCTGACTTCCTTGTCCAAATTCTTTTTTTTCTTATATTATTCAATATTTCTGAAAATAAACCCTAATTTGGAGCCAACATTGTGTCTATTTTAAGTTTTTACTCCAAAAATTAGGCTTTTTGTGCCTATCTTCTGAAGGAAAGTGCTGACTATAAACGAAACTATTCTGTGATTAAAAGAGGGAACTGGTGGTAGATAAGTTAAACAAGGCTGTCACTGGTATTGTATGGATTAGCAGACAGCATTATATGTATCACTGCCAAACATTTAAATGTTTGATTACAATTGAATGTTGAAAATTTCCAGATTCTATGATGTCATACTTTACCCATAGTTCTTTGCTTGAGATTCAAAATGGCTGACTACATAATACTGATGAAAAGTTGAATATCTAGAGAATGAAAAGTTATATAAAAAAACTGTAAATTGCATGTTCTTACATTTGCTGAGCTCTTTTATCTGGGAGTATTATATTGTTAGCCTTGACTTTCCCTTTAACTACTTGGTACATAATGTAATTATATCCCTTGAAACAACCTATATCAGTCTTCAAAGTTTGAGCATCAACGCTAAATAGACATGTTTATTATCCTTGTAGAATCTGATCCAGTCTGCGGTTGATGGATACAATGTATGTATATTTGCATATGGACAGACTGGTTCCGGTAAGACCTTCACAATGATTGGTGACTCTGATCACAAATATCCTGGAATAGCACCAAGAGCATTCACACAAATATTCAATCTTCTAGAGCAAAACAAGTAAGCCTGTGTTTTTTTACCTTTTGAATAAATATTTTTAATGAACAGAGTTCTGATGTACATATTGTACTGTCGCATAACGTACTTATGTATTCATCTTGTGAGTGCCCCTTCTACGTCATTTCCACTATAAATCTTGTCCAGTGGATACTCATTCCTGACTACTAGATTCCCCAAGTGGTTTCAAGAATACCTAGTCCTGTGTATTGTGTCAGTTTTCTATATTTTTTTCTATATTCATGAAATATTAAGCCACAATTACGATTGTGTTACCAATGATATGTCAACAATCATTTCAAGCTGTCTAGGTGCTGTTTACATGTGTATAGAAGCTGTCTAGGTGCTGTTTACATGTGTATAGAAGCTGTCTAGGTGATGTTTACATGTGTATAGAAGCTGTCTAGGTGCTGTTTATATGCGTATAAAAGCTGTCTAGGTGCTGTTAACATGTGTATAGAAGCTGTCTAGGTGATGTTAACATGTGTATAGAAGCTGTCTAGGTGCTGTTTATATGTATAGAAGCTGTCTAGGTGATGTTAACATGTGTATAGAAGCTGTCTAGGTGA